CATGCCGGGCCCGATGATATAGACTAGATATTGAAAATCTTTATTTTACATAAAAATTAACTCTGACTATGATAATACGAAACATTTTCAGATTTTTCATCTCATTTTTTATCACTAATGAACTTTTGAAGATTTATACAAAAGAGCTTGAGAAAATAGTTGACTATACAGGTTCTATCTCAATGTAAAATTAAATGTTTACAAAAGTCGCAACGATTAAAAACTTTGTTAATAATCCAGTCAGTGAGAAACGACTGATTAGAAATTGTTTTGTTTGTTTTTATAATTTCGCGCAAAGCTACACGAGAGCTATCTGTGCTAGCCGTCCCTAATTTAGCAGTGTAAGACTAGAGGGAAGGCAGTTAGTCATCACCACCCACCGCCAACTCTTGGGCTACTCTTTTACCAACAAATAGTGGGATTGACCATCACATTATAACGCCTTAAAGGGCAAGCATGTTTGGTGTGACGGGGATTCGAACCCAGGACCCTCAGATTGCGAGTCGAGCGTCCTAACCACAATTATAAATTAACTGAGATGTAAAAAAAAGACCTTTAGCACATTAACTCAATTTCTGTTTAACTCCCAAGAAATTAACGTTTGAAAAATATTTTTGTCTTAAGAAAATTTATTACAGAAGGTAAAAACCCTTCTATTATCGACGAGCCTTATTTCTTATAATCTTCAAATATTAACTGATTTAGTTTTTTTCTCAGTAAACATACTAAAGAAACAATTATTTAATGGATGTAGGACGGGATGTTATTATTCGGTAAAAAGTTCAGACGAGTTATTCTTGACAAATTATTTATTTCATCGATAGCTTTCATTGATAGGCCTAACACACAATGTCTCCCAGTGGATCAGCGGTAAGTCTACGGACTTACAACACTAAAATCCGGGGTTCGATTCCCTGTTTCAAACAAATAAATAAAACTTAACTCACAAATAAAACTTAACAGTCTCTTACTTGTTAAATATCCTCTCTTATCTAAGTAGCACAGCGGTTTGTCTGCGGACTTACAACGCTAGAAACCGGGTTTCGATACCCGTGATGGGCAGAGTACAGATAGCCCATTGTGTAGCTTTGTGCTTAATTCCAAACAAACAAACTTATCTAAGCAAATTCAAAACTGCTAGGTTATCAGACCCACCAGTTAATTAACAGTATAACTAGATGATTAACAAAATAACTAACACACTCGTGTTTTGATATTATAATATTTCGTGGATTTCACAAATAATCGAAATATCACGTTAAGCCTAGACACTTAAACCATTTTCAGGCGTAACATTTCATTTTACTCATGCCAAAACTCTATCTAGTAAACAATACAAAACGTCTAAGTTACAATATTGAACCATAGTATACAACAGTAATACAATAAAAAAAGTAAATACATAAATAAATAAAAAATAACCGAATGTACGTTTCAAATTAAGTAGGTATAAATTATTAATTATTACTAAATCAGATAAAAGGTGATGGTATTGTTTTTCTTAACAGAAGGATAAATTTATAGCATCTTAAGAGATAATGACGAGTGTATCAAAGGTAAATAAAGACCATACTACTAACGTTCATATGTATTGGGTTAAATTAAAACGAGAAAAATTATGCTTTGATATCACTGGTAACTTTTGAATTCAGCTTGAATATGATAATATCTTTACATAAGCATTGACATGAAATTGGATTATAATGGTGTTTTAGGCCATAAATAAATGCACTGATAATTTTAATGTTTGTTTGAGAGTAAAGTTGTACAATTGGCTATCTGCGCTTTGCTCACAGAAAGATAGAGCCCTGAATTTTAGCATTATAAGCCTTAAGTATAATAGCTGAGCCACCGGGAGACTAACAAATAATCGTGGTATATTGAATTAAAAAAAAGGCTTTCGATCAAACTGTTTATAAGATTTAATCTTCAAAGATACAATAATAGCAACTTTTAGAGCATGTAAATTTGATTTTAAAGACTACAACGTTTTTGACTACTGGTACAGTCTTATCATCAGAACAGTTTTATTGAATAAAGAAATTTGAACTTCCGAGATCGTTAGGCACTCGTGATGGATTGTAGGTGGCGTTAAGGGTAGCATTTTACTAAAATGTTTTGAATAAAATATTAATACAGATAAACAAGGGCTTTTATGATTTTCTCTGTTGATGTCTGGTTATGATCGTATTATTTCGACATTGAACTGTATGTATCACTTCTTCATATCTCACATCATGAGTTTTTCTATTATATGTTTCTCGAAGTTATTTACAAGTTATTCTGAAAATTAACCGACTTATTCGGTTGAAATTACTATGCTATACTTTCTCATATTTGTCTCTTCATCATATTAATTATTTTCTTTTACAGGGATAATAATCTATCAGAACTGGATAAATTGATCTTCACAAACATGCCAGCACTTCGTGAACTCTATCTCCAAGGAAACATGTTTAAATCGTTAGACAGACACACATTCAAGCCAGTGTGGAATCAATTAACTCATATTTATCTTAATGGTGGGCGTCATCTACTACACTAGTTTCTCTCTGGAGATCCACGATTTAAAATATGTTAAACATCATTAGTGTTGAATATAACTGAAACTATAATTTTCCAACATATTGTGGCTTTCTCTATTCTATTTCAGCCACTAGATTTAGGACATCAAACAGCGTTTGAAAACAGTAAGATCAGAACAACTTAGTTTTTCTTTGATATGTATCTTTCATAATCCGGCGTAATTGCTCATTTTCTATTTTTTTAAGTATATGCGTAATGTAAATACGTTACTAATAAGAAGAGTGTATAATTAATTGTAATTATGCTTCACTAGCTTAGGAAAGAAACGTTCGCACCATAACAACTGAATAACTGTATTTCAACTACAATGTCCGCCATATCCACTACTTGTGACGTGTTTCTTCAGGATAGCTGGGATACAATAAGTACATTTATATAAGCCATGTGTTACAGATAACAGTTGTTATGGGACAGTATTTATATAAGCCATGTGTTACAGATAACAGTTGTTATGTGACAGTATTTATATAAGTCATGTGTTACAAGTAACAGTTGTTATGGGACAGTATTTATATAAGCCATGTGTTACAAATAACAGTTGTTATTGGACATTGTTTATATAAGCCATGTGTTACAAGTAACAGTTGTTATGGGACAGTATTTATATAAGCCGTTTGTTACAAATAACAGTTGTTATGGGACAGTGTTTATATAAGCCATGTGTTACAGATAACAGTTGGTATGGGACAGTATTTATATAAACCATGTGTTACAACAGCAATTGTTATGGGACAGTGTTTATATAAGCTATGTATTACAAGTAACAGTTGTTATGGGACAGTATTTATATAAGCCATGTGTTACAGATAACAGTTGGTATGGGACAGTATTCATATAAACCATTTGTTACAAATAACAGTTGTTATGGGACAGTATTTATATAAGCCATTTGTTACAGATAACAGTTGTTATGGGACAGTATTTATATAAGCCATTTGTTACAAATAACAGTTGTTATGGGACAGTATTTATATAAGCCATGTGTTACAAATAACAGTTGTTATGGGACAGTATTTAGATAAGCCATTTGTTACAAATAACAGTTGTTATGGGACAGTATTTATATAAGCCATGTGTTACAGATAACAGTTGTTATGTGACAGTATTTATATAAGCCATGTGTTACAAATAACAGTTGTCATTAGACAGTATTTATATAAGCCATGTGTTACAGATAACAGTTGGTATGGGACAGTATTTATATAAACCATGTGTTACAACAACAATTGTTATGGGACAGTGTTTATATAAGCCATGTATTACAAGTAACAGTTGGTATGGGACAGTATTTATATAAGCCATGTGTTACAGATAACAGTTGGTATGGGACAGTATTTATATAAACCATGTGTTACAACAGCAATTGTTATGGGACAGTGTTTATATAAGCCATGTATTACAAGTAACAGTTGTTATGGGACATTATTTATATAAGCCATATGTTAGAAATACCAGTTGTTATGGAACACTATATAAAACTTCTGATACGACATCGATTGTTGGGGTGATCTTAATGAGCTCTGTATTGAGCGAAACGCTTCGTCGGCAATGGCTACGAGCAGACAGTGTGATTGAAATACTATTATATACTCTTCTTCTCCGAGAAACAAAAAAACAATTAGATAATACCTATAATAAAATGAAAGGTTCTGGACAATAAAGCGTATCAAAGTATCAGAGTTAACTAATCTGAAATATATGCTATAAGAAAGCCTGAACTGTTTTGATTATTGAATTTTAGTTAATCCTTTATTTGATTGTTGTTGATTTTACTCAATAGAACGTGCACTGACGATGTTTCCGTTCACGTTACTTTTAGATAACCCAGTCAAATGCAACTGTGATATTGGCTGGCTGATCGTAACCAAAAAACCTACAAACCTGATTTATCCTACCTGTGCCTTTCCACCACAATTTGTAGGAGTGTCACTGAAAGATGTCGAAATTGATGATGTTTGCAGCTGGTGGTGGACTGTGTTTGTTTAACTATGCAGCTTTTTCATAAACCAAATAAATGTGTACAGCGAACTTACGTTCTTAAATAAAGTTCATTAGCAGCTGCTGAACCCTGGCTTGTGTCTCAATATTTTACGTGTCGGTAAAACAGCACCGTAGTTGACAAGTTTCACCAATTATTGTATATAATAAACTATCGACTTTAAATCATATAATTCTAAATAAATTAATTAACGAATAATTTAACAATTATGGTCATTTTAAAAAATGATATTGATAGATGAATGACTCATATAAAACATTATGAAATATGACTTAATTTTTTCAGTTAGCTAAAATATTTCCTTTCTTGTTTGAAATCTGATTTAGTGATTACTCCCGATGCTCAAATTAGAAACATTGCTAAAAAGGAACATCAGAAGTAAGTGGGGCTATATTTCCACAGTACGATTGATAACAGTGTACCATTACCAACAGTGTTACATTCCATTATCTTAAAGAGCTAGGCCCGGCATGGCCAGGTGGTTAGGGCACTCGACACGCAATCTGTGGGTGGCGGGTTC